AGGATGCATCTGCAGCTAAAATCGTTCAGCTTTTTCTGGTCGACTTATTTCTATAGTGCCAGCTGCTTCTTCAAATAATTTTTTTTTCTTTTTTCAATTTTAAATAATGTCATTTAAAATTAAGAAGAGAAAAAAAAAGAGCACAACAGAGCCGGAACCAAACTCTTTCTCCTCCAAATGCACTCTAAGATGGGCAGTTCTGATATGTCTCTGGTCTGTGGTGGAACCAGCTCCTAAAAGTTACTTTCATTTTGCAGTGAAGGTCCTCTGCTTTATTGTTTGCCGATACCTTTAACCTGCAGCTTAAATATTCTTAAACAGTTTTGGTTTATTGTTCCTTAGTGGGCTTGTTCCTGCTGCGAGAGGTTTGTTTTAGAGTCACATCAGTTAATGATCATTTAATTCCTAAATTAGTTGATGATTATTTCATTATTTGATATATCATTTAATTTATATTCAATAAGATTAGATAAATCTGCACCAAGGAGGTAAAATTAGATTTCGAAATTAAGCTTGAAGTTTGATAAATGAAGGCATAACAGAGAACTTCAGGATAAACGACCAAACAGAACACAGAAGTTCTGCTCTTTTCAGCTGACAAGACAAGATTTACTTCTGCAATGGAAGAAGAATTGGTTTCACTCAGATTGAGGATTTCTTTTCTTTTATATCCAAAACAGAATGCAGACATGAAAAAAGCCCTTTTAACAACATTTTAAGGAGGACTGGAAAAAAAAAAAAAAAAAACACTAAGTCGTATTCGAGTCTGTTTTGAGTTTGCACCCGCTGTGTCAATTACAGCTTTGCAGATGTTTTCTCTGGAGTTTGGTCGTGTCACTTCAAATGCAAAAAGAAGAACAAAGCAGAAGATTTACAGGCAGCTGCATGAGCATAAGAGTTACTGACAACTGGATTCTGTAAACGCATGTTCACTTCTGTAGCCCTGGAGAGAGGGATGTTGGCGCTTTGGATTCCAACACCCTACCCCAGCAGGGCAGCTCAGACCTTTATTTGCGCACGTTTTAAATCTAATTCAATCAATAATGCCTCTAAATAAGGTTTGCCCTTAAAAACAAGGAAAAAAAATACTTAAAATGCTGCATCTATCACACATGGAACTCTTCTCTTTTAAATACTGTGCTTTTTTTAATAAAGTCTGAATGCGTGCTAACACTTCAGATAATAAGAAGAAGTGAAACAGACGTGAGTTCCTCTCAACTTTAGGGACGGTACTATAACTTGACAAGATTTTCTCAAAGAGACACTGCCACCTTTTAACATAAAAACATAAAAATAATTTACCGCTGAATTTTCAACTTGAAGATCTCCCTGATAGGAGAATCTTATGAATCTGGAGGGTTAGTGCATATTTCAAACTAATGATAAAGACCCTGCAGCTGTACCTTGGCTGCTTTTTACTCATGCAAGGGCATTATCAGTTTCCATGCAGCTTGCTCTTTTGTACTAAATGATCTCCCTAATATTACTTCTGCTTCTAACACATTGAAAAGGAAAAAGAAACACACACCAATCAACAGAATTGAACTCTGCATGCATTAGCATGAACTATGACTTCTTTTTTCTTCTTCTTCTTTTTGGGGGAGCCAAACATTGCACACAGTGTGAGAACATTTACTTAAAATGTGGCATGTAAAAATATCCCCTTACTATGTGTGAGAAAAAAAATGCATTCACAAAAAAAAAAAAAAGAAAGAAGGCAGCTGCAGGAACATACTGATCACAGCAGCACCGCCACGATTCTTTAAATTCTCTGTGAATGTAAAGACGGGAAACATGCTTCTCCATTGCTTTCCTTCCTTTTAAGGCCATTCTTGGGACCTTATCTATCTGTCCTGCCAAGATTAAACACCCAGAGAAAAAAAAAAAGAGAGGGAGATTTCTCAGAGCGGCAGGGTCAGTTCTGCCAATGCAAACGCGTACGACTCTGGCTCTATCAACAAGCTAACACGCACATGGTTAGGGCTGCAGCTGCCTGGTGAGTTGAGGGCTGCTAAATATAAAAAGGCTCTGAAACACACATGCGCCCTGAGATGCGCGCGCATGCATGCATGCATGCATGCAACGGCTGTTTTCATGGAGCCCCCCCACCACCACCTCAAAGCTGCACGCCCCATGACGAGACTGAGCTGTGCACATTACTCAAACTGACTGCTCTGATTACTGTTTTGAGGATCTAAGGGGACTGGGTGTGCGAGCACATGTAGCCTCATAGCGTCTGGAGGTACGGCAGGCTTTAACCCACTGTGTGCAGTCAGGCAGTTTTTTTAGGGTCTGAGAAGAAGAGAGAGAGAACCTCTTGCTGCGACTTTGGAAGATTTGTTTAACAAGAAAATGCATATAGGTCAAAAAGACGATTTATTTAATGTGACTGTTAAATGTTTTTTTAGATTCAGTAGGATTATTAGCTCTGAATTTATAGGTGGAGAGGTTGTGCCTGGCTGAAACAAACCCCAAACAAACAGGAAAGAGTGTGGGAGGTATATCTACACACCAAAGGGTAAAAGAATGCATAAAGGTTGCAGACTTTTCGATTTAACAGGGCATAGAAATGCTACAATGGGTGAAAAAAATTAAAAATAAGTGAGATTCATTTTTCATGAAATGGTGTGTTACAAAAACCATGAAGTCAAACAGGCAGCAGTAGCTACAGTCTAAGTTTAACCCTGCCTCCTGACGCCTTTTCACCTAAATTACCTCTTGACTCATTTAAACATTAAATGATTGGGGTTTTAACAGTTGAACCACACCAAACCGTGACAAGACAGGTTTAGAGCGAATGTTCATGGTGCAGTTAAAGCGGCAAATCCTTCACAAGAGGCAAAGTTGCATCGCAAACCACCTGAAAAAAAACAAAAAAAAAAACGAGCAGCTTTCTGAGGCAAAGCTAAATGTCATCACGGCTTTGTTTTGTTTGTTTGTTTTTTTTATCATGTGGCAAACCGTGCACCAAAAGACGCCGAGATGCAGCGAAGCAGCCTTTTCTGAAAAACCAAACAACGGCCAGAGGAAGAGGGTGATGTTTGTAAAAAGGAAGAGGGGGGAAAACACCCTGCAACTAAAACAGCTGGAAACAGGAAATGACTTTTTCTGTCTTCTCAGTGTGTGTGCTTTTGTTTGTGTTGATTTCTCTTTTTTTTTTTTTTTTTCTGGGAGGGGGTGGGGGTACATGCAGCTTTTTCTGGCAAAGTTACATTAACAAACCCTTTCAGGGTTTCTGCGGGTTTTCCATCCTATTTACACAACCAGATCTGGCAGGTTTATCTCACACAGATATGAAACACAAGATGAGGAACCTGACAGATGCTAAATGGGCTTTGGTGGCATGCACTTCTGAGAAGTACAATGACTTTTGGAGAAATACCAATGCATTATCTGATCAAGCAAAGTCCTGTGAAAAATCTGTACTGAGAAAATCACAATCAATTATCAGATAGAAAGATGGCAAACCCTAAAAGTGGTGTGCTGTTGTTAAACACCTGCATGTTAACCTTAAAACCATGTATAGAGAGCAAAAACAAAATCACCTTTGCATTTAATTTAAAAGGAAATATATATATATATCTGTGAAACGGTGTTTGATTTGTTTCTAAGCTAGCAGGCTAAACCAGAAAAAGGTTGCTAGATGCATTTTTGAGGAAGAAAAACAGCTGGACGACATTTACAAGCAGACTTTTAATCTCAGAGCAATATTTCGGCTTCATTTCCAAGGAAAAGGAACCAGCTGATTGGTCGTGATCACTCTTGAACAGACGTGTTGGCTTGTTCCACAACTTTTTTCGAAAAAGCTCGAAACCACCTGCAGCAAGTGTGAAAACCCTCAACATGCATTTCAGTAAGAAAACACATCTGATTGTGGAAGTGGGATTTCCTGGCCTTCCCTCATTTTCATAAATGTTTTACTGTAAATTACAAAGTAAAGATTTCACAGTTAGCCAATTGCTGTAGTCTGACCACAGCCCTGAGAGTTTCCACATCTCTTTTTTTTTTTCAAAAGAAAACCTTCGAGCCAACAAGATATAGAGAGGACTTCCTATTTTAATGTAGCATAGAATATAATTTAAAGTTTCACACCTTCCCTAACTTTTTTTAAGTTTCTCTTTTACTCCGTTTACTCAGTTAACCTTAAAACAAGTCCTGTCCTAGTTGGGATGCAAGTTATCAATTAATGACTTAATCTAAAGTTAAAACAGCATTGCACACATAAAACTAAAGTGAATACTATCTCTGTAACTGTATCTGTATGACATCATTGTAAAAAGAAGTGTCAGCATCATTCATCCGACATCTGATTCAAGTCGTAGATCTTATACAATTAATAATTATACTTTACTAATCTCACACAGAAGAAATTGACCTCTGCATTTAACCCAACCCCTTGGGGAGCAGTGGGCTGCCACTGTGCAGCACCCGGGGAGGGTATTGCTCAGGGACCCAGAGTTGAAGTCTGTGGGAGTGGGGCTTGAACTCAGAACCTCTAGATTCCAAGTGCAATGCCCTTACCACTAGGCCGTGCCTACCCAGTTGGGGTCCATCACTAGCTGGTAACAATGCAGAATCTGGACAGATGAACAGCTCAGGTGGAAGAATATGTGGACAAATCTACTATGCAGGAGAATTGTGGACTTTAGAGAATACGGGAAAAAAGAGAGAAATTAAAACTGACTGAGCATGAACTGTTTTCCATCTCTGAGCTGATAGAGGAACATCCCCAAAGACCTGCAGCTCTACGAGCAGTGCAACATTGTTCCTTAATAAATTGACTAAATTCAAATAATTTCATGTCATACAAAACAAAAAACGTGTTTTCTTTACCATTCTAGAGAAAAAAAAGCCAATACCCTACATGGGTTAAATACATTGTACATGGCTGTAAAGTGTCAAATGTAGAAAATTCAAGCAATATAAATCTCAGTTAAAGGGAACATATAACATGTGATGAAGACAGAAGCTGAAAATGTAGCTGGGAATGTAAATCCTACCTTTGGGGGATCGTACAGCTCCAGCTGGTACCTCTCGCTTCCTGCTCTGCCCCCTCCACTTTGAGTGTCTCTGATCCTCCTGACCAGCAGGCGGCAGCGTTGCCAGTGGGGCAGAGAGTCCGAGATAGTGTCATCCACCAGCAGGTACTTGAGTTGGCCCTCCTTGCAGCAGCCGCTCACTTCCGGCCTCCTGAGCCTCATGCTTCTGCTGCGTAACCAACGAAAACCCTCCAGGAGGTGCGAGACCACTCTGGGTCGATGTAAGGCACCTGGGGAGGTTGCTTCCAAGTTCTGTGAGGGGAATGAGTGGGACAAAGAGGATGAGCCTTCCTCCACTCTGTCACCGTTGTTCAGGGTACTGTTATTGGTGGTGGTGGGGTTGGGGTTGCTTAGAGACAGGTCCTGGGAAGAGCAGGGACTGTGGGAGTGCCGTTTTTGGAAAATCCGTTGTACTGTCTTTTGAATCTGGCTGACAGGGAAATGCGTGATGTCGCTGTGTGCAGAATTTGACGCCAAAGAGTCCGAGGAATGTCGCTCAGGTGGCTGATGGCGATCAGTGGCAGAGATCTCATCGCTGCTGTGGCTTTGGATCAGCAGCGACCCCCCGCTAATACTTCTAGACCCCGAAAAGGAGTTTCTTGCTGCACATCTCAGCGGCTGCTCCTGCTCCCGACTGACCAACACCGGCTCCACTTTTGGTACCACAGATATCGACGCGGCTCCTATGCTTGGCCGCCCCGCCTCCCGGTAATCCTGTGAAAGGGACGAGATCCGCAACCGGCTGATCACAGCATGAGGTGAGGGAGAGGAAGAAGCTGTTGCGGATGCGCTTCCGGAGGCAATCGGGCATGAGCCATGGCCGAGTGGACTGCCATCTTTGTCGACTTCGCAGCAGAAGTGGTGCTGGAAGAGGTCGGTGAAGTGCTTGGAGAAAGTCTCTGGTGGGACCAGCTCATGCTGCGGGCGCTCACTGGCAAAGCTCCGGTAATGTCCAGCCAGCTGTCGGGCTGTTGCGATGGCATGCAGCTCACAGAACTCCCTCCAGCCTCTGGGTGGCGCTGCTACACTTGGACCTCCTCCTGCTGAAGTGGTGTTGGCTGGATGGATAGTGTTACCATTCATTGCAGAAACCAGACTGGCAGAGAATCACTGCTGACAGACAGAACAGGTTGCAGAGAAAAAAAAAAATGATTTAGTTGAGGGCAGCTTGAGGTCAACTAGAAAAAGGGTTTCAGCCATACAGATTTAAAATATTGAAGATAGTCAAAGTATTTTCAGAATGGGCACAGATGAACTGAATAAATCCAAACCTTGGTTTTAAAGGGACTGTTTCTTCTAATAATAAAACTTTCCTTTACTTCCCTTCTTTCCCCATATGCTCAAAAGGTGGACATGCTAGTTTCAAATCAGTGCCCTGCTGAATAAGAAGTATGCTGAGGGTTAATGTCACAAACTGATGGGCACCAGTTTCCTTCAAGATTTTCTGCAATGGGTCAGAAATCATGGTCAAATCAACAATGCTGAGGGGTACTTATAACTTTCTATTCCACTCCATTTCTAGGAAGCTAGTTATTATTGGTTCTTTTTGACCCGGCTTAGCTTTCTAATCCTCTGCTGCTATTTTTCGCCTTCTTTAATTGCAACTGGTCACAATATGATTCTCACAAATTTCAAAGTTCCTTTTTAGGAACGGGTATCCTGGATGCCTTAGTTATCTTTCTTTTTTAACCCCCCAGGGTCAAATGATAGCTCATTAGCAGTTATATGCAGAACTTTGATATGCTGAGGAGGAGAAGAACTAAAACAAGATGGCAGCCCGTAGGTCTGAATTTGGACACCGCTGTTTTAGAGATTAGCATCTGAGGGCAGATATTATTTTATATATTTACTTAAGGCGTAAGTTGTTGTCATTTGTCCAAGTGTTCAGTAAGAACCGTGTTCATGGCAGAGTAGTTTCTTTGTGGTAATAAATTCAACCGTAAATATGTATTCCATAGTGAACGTGTGAGGAGGATCAAGACTCTCCTGTTTTCTTTTTGTTCTGTTCTTAAATAAAAACAATCATAAAAATAGCGGTCCTTATTTTTTGAGGCATTTTTATGCTGAAGTTCTTAACAGATGGTGTAGAAGTTGTAGCAGAGTGGTTCTATGCATCAATATATCAGGTTTAAAAGTTACAAGGTTCTGTAAAATTCCAGAAACTGAATTGGGAATTGCTCAGGGTGTCTTTGTCTGATATCAAAATTTGCTGGATATTCTTAAACATTGTGTGACAAGAAAGCAACAACATCAGGAATCTGATTTTAAAGCATTTTTAAGGCATTCCAACAAAATCAGACAAACGGTAGGTGGTTTACATGACCCAGCACCTAGAAGAAAATTTTGGATTTACATTGAAAGGATTTAGCTTTTAGTGAAAGGTTGCAGGCGGACTTTATCAGCGCTCAGGGCCTGCAAAAAATCTCAGGCAATTACCCCCTCAAAGATCATTTTTGTAGATAAGGATGGCCAAAGTTCATTCAAATCTTAAAGGGCAGTGTGTTACCATTCATTTTCTGGAAAACCGGCTGAATGAATGGAAAACTGGAAAACATATAAAAACATTTGGGTACAAGGAAAATTAGAAACGTTGAACATGAGATGAAATAATGAGCTCTCAGTGGCTGCCGAATAAAATATTCAAACTATAATTGATGGTGATAGGTCAAACAGAGGGTGATTGAGGCCCTCACTGAGAAAGTACAGTTAAAAAACTTCTTAATCAACCACACTGCACGCAGAACCATCTGTGTTTCTGTATTGACATGTGACCCGTTTCAGTCTTCCTTCTGCTTTTTCACCTCCCAATGTGTCAGCGCTGCCTTACAGCAAGAAAACAGCAAAGCCACGACATGAACTAAAGCTATTTAAACAGTCTGATGTAAACCTTGAAAAAAAACACATTTTGGGTTCCTTTTTATCAAACAGTAAACAAATGACAAACTATTAAGCTACTACTACAAAGTCTAAATACATTAACCGATTCGTAGAGATAAAACAAGACCCAATTTCTTCTTGTTTTACTTCTAACTAATTGTAAAAAAAAACAGAAACAGGTCAGAGAGAGAAGTTATATCTTCCTTTCTACAAAATAATTTACTCCACTTGTACAAATTATCATGTTCTTTAAAAGCTTTTTATACTCTAAACCTTTTTCCCACTTAATGAAATTACAAAAACAAACCTTACAGTGGTTCATTTTATGTTTAGGGAGCACTGCATAACACCAGTTTTTTATGCAATGCATTGAATAGAATGCGTGCACCAACAGCGAAGCAATCGCACCATCCTTGCCAGCGCACTTCCTCGCAAACCTTTAAATTTGTGTAACTCAGTACCAACCAAGCGAGGACTTTAAAACAAATAGATAATTACTTCAAGAATTGATGTGATGCCACCCGTTAATCAATCACGGAGGCTCATCAGCGATTAACCAGTCGGTGATCGCAATTTTTCATAAAGAGAAAAACAGCCCTCCCCTTACGGCGCTGCAGCATCTCTCCCTCCATCATCATGCCCATGATTTTGAATTAGGAAGGCATAGCAGATATTAAATTACTGTCCAAAAAGACTTCTAAAAAACGCTAACTGCTGTCGGCAGATAATCTTCAGTTCAGATATGCATTACTCCAAGTGTTTAGAGGAAAGGAATACAGTTAATTGTATTTCCAAAACTGAAAAAGAGTCTTGGAACATGCAAAATAGCAGAACTAATAAACAGTTTGACCCAAGAGTAATCAATGGGAGCAACAAGCTGTTTGTCTGGACGATGATAAAGAACAATTCTTTGTTTTTTTTTGTCATATTTACATTGGTTGTTTAAGCCGGGCATACACTGTACAATTTTTTGCCCTTTTCAGGCAGATTCTCCCGTCGTGCCAGAAATTTCCGATTGGGCAGAGTTTCAGCCTTACCGTGCATCGTGTAGTGTACAGGGGGTAATGAGAGCCGATTAGCCTCTCATGACCACGTCCCGATCAAAGGTTGTAAGGTTAGGAGAAAATCAAACATGTTTGAAATTCAGTCAGCTGTCGTAAGATCTCATCAGAGTGTTGGGCAGCAATGTGAGAACATGCATCATGAGCTGTGAACTTTTAAACCCTGCAGTTTTGTCATACAGTGTGAGCTGTAGCTGCGTGCAACGATTGAAAATGTCACACATTGCATGCTTGGCTGTAAATAGCTTGCATTGCACCAAGAGGCACAGTTATAACAGCTTTAATTGTGAGGTCCTACCCAAAATACAGCTAACTTATGGTTATTACATCATGGTACCCAGCATGCAAATATCCAAGAACTACTTGGACCCCAATAAATGTTAGGTCAGCGGCATGAACAGAAGGGGTAGTAGCTGGATAGCCATATTCACTACTTAGTATCCATGCTTGCAATACACTTACACTGTTTAAACCAACCCAAAGTAACTTTTCAACCTCTATGTATTTGCATTACTTTTGTGATTTTATGTCGACTTACGGCTAGTTGAATACCACCTCTGTCATGGCCTGAGGGGATCAGGATCACGTTCACTGGCACTAAGTACCTTTGAGGAGGGTGGCAGGAACCCTGCCACAAAAGACAACTACAAACATGCGGACTATTTTAAAGCATATGTCACTTTCCCCTTTCCCCATTTGTTATAAAGATGGAAGTCGATGCGACTAATTTTCCTTGAGAGGCTGTGGCTGTGTCTGTACATCCACCCTAACCCCTACATGGAGCACTATATAGGAATGTCTAGTGGATGAAAAAGCAGTGCACTCAAATTTACCCACATTGCACCTTGAAAAGTGCAACCATGGTCACTAGATGAGCAGATATATCCCAGAATGCTTTGCGAGAGCTCTCCTCTGATCTTAAAACAAAAGTTTTGTAGAACAGCAGCAAAAAGCAAACTTTTAACTTAATGCTCTGAGCTCTATAAGCTGTACCCTGGAAGCTGCTGCTGCTCCCGCAATGCATGCTGGGACAGCTGGTGGAGAATGCACAAGTCTTCTCTGATGCAAACGCAGTAAAGAGGGAGGGGCCGGAACAACATCTAGGGACTTTGTCCGTTCTCCGTCTTGTGTTCTTGTGACCTGGAAATGTGCTGGAGCTGAGGCTGATGACGTTTCACGAGCCCATGAGAATGCCCAAGTACACATATTGAGAAACAGCACAGGATTTTACCACACTATGGTCTATACCAAGCTGGACCTTATGGGATATGGGGTATTTCTTTATGAAAAATGCAGATGGCCACTCATAACGAGCCTGGTTCTGCTGGAGGTTTCTTCATGTTAAAAGGGAGTTTTTCCTCTCCACTGTCGCTACAAGCATGCTCAGTGTGAGGGATTGCATCTGAGTCAATGAGTCGATGCAATCAACTGGTTTTCCTTAGATAGGGGTGAACTGTAAAGTGCCTTAAGATGACGTGTGTTGTGAATTGGCGCTATATAAATAAACTGAATTGAATGCAAAACAATACAGCTTTATTCCACCAAAATCGACCTAATCTCAAACTCCTTTAGAACTGCTTTAATACTTTTAATTATCCACAGAAAGCTTTTTCTTTATCACAGCATTTGTATCTTCTTAAGTGACAGACAGCTGTACCTTAGGTGCACACGGGAGCAATATTGTAGATCCTTCCTCCCAGACTTTACAACAACCACTGCTCCCATCAAGTTTTTTACATCTCTGCTATGTTGGCAGTCTTTTCATTCTTGAAATTGCCCTAACATATCTAGTCATATGATTTTTCTTTCATATCCAGATATGCTTAATTTCATCTAGCTGCTGGGATTAGTGGAATTCCCCACTGAGGAAAAATAAAGAGATATTTTTAGAGAAGATTTGATAATGAACTCCTTCAATAAGCCAGCTAAAAGGTCAATGATAAAGCTGTGGATAACTTTAAACAGGTTTGATCATAAGATAATATCTCAGCTTTTTAACATTACACAGTTCAATCCATTTTGTTTTAAGAAACAGGTAGCTCAACAAGAAATAAACCAACAGGTCGAGTGGAGAAGGTGGCACAATCTGAATGGCAAGAAAAAAGAAAATGGGTTGTAAGAAGGCCACAAGACGTTTATAAAACCTATGTAGTGGACATTGCAAACGTGGAAGAA